AAGTGTATTCTATTGTTGTTCAATAATATTTATTTTACAATTATTTTTTATATTTACCTTACGATAAAAGTCAGTATACAGTTTTGCCCAAATGAGGTTGGTCATAACTAGGTTTGCCCGGTCAAAAGCCGAAATATGACATTTTGCCCAAGGATTGTGGGCAATTCGCGTTTTKCCCGGGMATTTCTGAGGTTTGCCCGATTTCGACTTTTGCCCGTAACATATACACTTGTGTAAAATATTAAATTTATAAATTCAACAATGATTGGTGTGATGTATGTTTTCATATCGGAGCATTTCCAACCCCCGTTGTGAATGTATATCGTGATGATAATTTATTAAATGCAAAACATACATTTTTCAATTACACATATATACATACAATATTTACGTGTTCGTGGTGTCGGCCGGAGTTTTAACTATTATTTATATAGAGTGGTGCGTGGAAATAATAATACATAAATAATATATTTGGTAAAATTCTTAATTTTTGAAACATTGAAATTGTAGGTTTTTCAAATACTTATAATTTTTATAGGTACCATGATATTTTGAAAATAGTTTTAGATTATATTTAAGGACAACGATGATTTTAAAATTACGGTAATTAATATAAATGTATTACAATCTTCTAGTTTTTAAAAATCATGCGATATAATGGGCATTAAAATAAATATTAAAACTATTTTAAATATTTTTTTAAAACCATTAAAAACTACTATTAAGAATCAGAAACTACTCATTTAAATTTAGATTTAATGCATCCATAGGTGTCTTTTTGAAAATTTAAAACATAAAATGGCGGAAAAAAAGGTTCATAATGACCAAAAATTACATTCATATCTAATATAATCGATATAAATTAACATAAATATTCTAAAAATCAGAATTCGAATAATAGAAGTGCATGTTTTGTGAGTCACTGTATATTTCGCGGGTGTGTTTTTTCCAACTATCGTCTCATAATCAATGCGATTCGGATAACGACTTTTTATTAAATTCGTCTGGTGGTTATAATCTGCGATGCGCAAACACTGTTTTTTTTCAACAATTACATTATGGCGCGAATACTTATATTATGTTGTTTAAAAGTGTTGATGAATACCGCCATGTGTTATAATTAATATATGAAATGCGCATACTGTATTCGCAACTCTATTATGAGTCTATGATGAGTCTTTTATGTTTTAGTGTTTTGCTAACAATGTTTGCAGACCACTGTTATATAGTAATGTAGTATACTTATCTATTGTACATTTATATAATATAGGTTATATTATCGGTATATTATACGCTATGTAGTAGGCACTAGATGACATGCGATACGATTCAAAATATAAACAACCAGCATCACAACGTTTTAATAAATTATAAATATGATTATATTATTTTATTTTTGACGGAAAATTTTATAATTTTTCTTGATTTCTTGTTAACATGATTTAAACGATTAGGATATTATTTTTAGTTACTCGCCTGTAACTGCTGTTTTAGTCCAAAACCACTTAACAAGCGTCTTGTCGACTTCTTTAATCTCGTTAGGTTCGTTACCTGGGTTGTTCCACTTCAGCTATAAATCTAATCGTGCCTATGTTATATGTTGTATCGTGGTATTTAAATTTAATTTCCGCAAACACAGCATAACGTGCGCGAATATATTTTGTGTCTAATATAGGCAAAAGCGTTTATGATCGGCGGAGATAGAATGGTTGTTATCGAGTAATATTGATCTTCGATATAATATAATATCCATAGGGTGTGTATTGTATCATATGTTGTAACACCCTCCGTTCAATTCTAAACCACTTCACCTTTCAATGTCGATTTACTAATTTTGACTCGTTAGTTTGTATCATAATATACAATAATTCATTATATATTAAATTCGGTTTTAAAGTAGGTCGTTTCGAGTATACCTATGTATATTGCATTAATAATGATAAGAAGTAGGATGAAAAAATTATTGTATTGCGTATAATTGATAAAATTGTACAATTTATATTCAATGATAATAAAGTAATAACATTTTGCAGTGTGGAATGTCCTCGATTACGTTTTATCATGGGTTCAACGATTAATGTAGTTCATGAAGCGTACTATATGTTATTTACCCGTACTGCACAAAATGATATAAAAATACACCCATTTGCAATAATAAATTGCAACTAAAATATTGCACATTAGTTTTTTTATTCTCTATATGACAATGAAACGATCTGAAGAGAGAGGTGGCGTATATAAATAACCCCTAGCTGCATGTACAGCTTATGTTAACGTTTACTCAATACCAATTTTGAAATAAAAATTCTATACGAAATCGACCAAGTACTTAGTGATGATTTTATTTAAAAATGTAGCATATCATAATATACCTAGGTAATTGTATATACCTACTTGTGATTAGTAAAAATATAAATTTGAATATATTAATAATCAAAAGTAATAAAAATTATGATACTTACTTTCAAAAACTATTATACTTATTACACTATATAATATATATGTTATGTTCTCGGTATGATTCACTAAGAATACTCATCGCTATTTTTCATATGGTAAAATATAAGTGAATACGTGATTTTATTATAAAAAATATTGTTATATAACGAATCCTAAACAAGTAAACAAAAATAAACGTTATTAAAATATTGTTGCTTTTTGAGATAATGAGTGTTCACTGTCAAGTATTAAATTAATCACCTCTTGTATTTACTTTATATAAGT